GCCCCGTTCACTCTGCCCTCCATGCCTTTTTTCTTCCCTTTTTAGAAAGCAATATTTTCAATGAGAATTGACGGAGAAACTCAATGACGAAGACTATTTCAAAAAGATGCTGGATTTTTTCGCCCTGCACAGTAGCTAATCGTCCACAGAAAACATACAATCAAACAAAAAACCCCCCCCCCCCAGCCCCCCCCCCCCCAAACTAGAGACTGTAGATCATAGTTGTAAACAATTAAGCAACCTGTGCTTGCGGGAATGTGTGCTAATGTAAACACACACATGCACTCACACACAGACACACACTCGTATTTTTCACTCTTTGTGAGGACACCTGCTGGCCAAAATGAGTACGGTATCCAGATTTATTACTTTTTTATGCCTTGGATTTATACCAAGTCTGGCATGAACCCTGGACCCCAGTCCTAATTGGCTAAACCATTAATAATAATAATTTTAAAAAAATCACAATGAGGTAATTCTTTTTTTCACTTTTTCAAAAAAGTCCTCGTATGTTTCTCTCATACCTCTGGTCCTCACAAAGACCAAATACGAGAAAACACACACACAAACAAGAACCACAGCTTCCACATTTACACCGACACAAACGACTATATATGAGGCCTCGCATGTGAATTTTTATCAATGACTATAATAATATTGATATCAATAGTAAGAATATTTAGAATCCTGATATTTTATAGCAAATAGTAACTGAAAAGTGAAAAAAAAGGACTAACAGTGTTCTCTCGTTTTTTTTAGAGACAAAATGACCTCTTGTATTTTTATGCTGCTTTTTATTTGCTAAGAATTTAATTCTTTTGCAACTGCCAACATGGACTTTTTATAAAAATGTGAACTACTACAGTATTTGCAAAAACTGAAAAATCATTTTAAAGGCAAAAACACAAACCCTTTTTTCCACACCAGTGTTTGAATCCAACGGATGTTATTTTTGTATTTGATTTTTCTAAATGTATTTTTTTGTGCTTATTATCCCTGGATCCGAAGTATCTTTGTAACTGTGGGTATTCAAAAAAGAGCTAATCTAAATAAGCTATATGCCATTTTACCAGGCCATAGGTCAGCTAGCTATAGCGGAGCAGCGATGTTAAAACACTGGACAGGCCTGTTGAACAGGCGACCATCCAATCAAATTCACACTTTTCACGCTGAAGTACGGACTCGGACCGACACCCGGAGGGAGAGAGAGAGAGAAAGAGAAAGAGAGAGGGTGAGGGAGGGAGAGGGAGAGCCAGACCAAATGAAAACGCCGTTATCGTGGAGAACCAGACCAAATGAAAACGCCGTTATCGTGAAGTGCCATGTGCGATGGATTTGTTTATAGCAATGAAACTCTTGTCGTTCTTCCTCCACCGCGCTGGGTCGTACTAACCCTTCGCGGTCGCGTCGTCTAGTCTCGAAAAAAGCAATCGTCACCGCAATCTTTCCCCGCATCGCCAGCGTTACCTCAGAGTGAAGGTATGAACTCACGCACCCTCAGTTACAAAGTGACACAAGAAACGTGATTCTGTTTGTCGGTCGAACGAACGACCGCGTCGCTGAAAAACAAAAAAAGCTCCACCCATGGTTTGAAACATACCATCTATTTATCATGTAAATACTTTATTTATTTGACCTTATTTATCTATTTATTGTTTATTTATTTTTTCTCTCTCTATTTATTGAAGACATGTTTGTTTGTTTTGGTTTGTTTTTCATGTATTTATTTACTTTATTTATTTATTTCAAATCCAAGCAAACATCCACTGACCTTGTAAGATGCTGCTGATCTTCAAAGAAAAAAAATGTTTATATGCATGAAAACTGTAGAGAGTCCCAGGGACTTAGTTTTTTAAAGAGGAACAATGTACAGCACCCGTCAGGTGACGTCGCCCTAATGAATGCAGAATGACTTTTGGTTTATGTGGCAATAACTTTTTTCCTGACACGGCGGTTGACATGTACCAGGGTCGCTGTCCTGTTTCTACTACTCAACCTAGGGCAATAAAAAGAAACACTGAACATAACGCTTAACAACAAATTCTCCATCTTGCTGTTTCCTAAAAACCCAGCTCCACCTAGTGGCTGGAGGTTTTTAACCCACCCTAACCCCCCCGACCTCCCCGCTCCTCTCCTCACCCCCGATTACTTTTTTTCTTCTGTTTTTATATCAAAAAGGCAATAAGTATTTCCTAGAGCTGAGACGCAACGACAGTTTGATTTATTTGCACACACGCACACGAACGTCGTTTGTTTTTTTGTTTTTTGTTTTTTTTAAAGGTAGAAAAGCAATAATAGCAGTGAGGGGACAAACGTGAGCCACAACCAGAGCCGCTTCATACATCTGTTTGTCCGAGAGCTTGTGTTCAATCTCTCTTGTTTCGTAGACCAACCAGGGAACACACACACTCACACTCACACACACACCTTCTGGCAGCTGAGAGCAGGCGTGACTTGACTCCGTCGTCGTCACACCGCTCCTCACACACATCTCATCAAAACTATTATTCCATATTTTCACAATATGTTCTCTGAGGAGTCGCTTACTGCTCTGATCAGACGGACAAACAAGTGTCACTGCTGAGTCGGCCTGCAGGGGGCAGCAGACGTGACCCTGCGGTGATTTTGACGTTCCACCATCGCTGTAACAAAGCGACACACCCAGAACCCACCACTAATCCCCCCTAACTCTCTCTCTTATATCCCCCTCCTCACCCACCCCTCCCACCCTCAACTCTCCCCCGACTGCATCCAAACAGAGGCAGATCAGGACGGGGGAGTTGTTGAAGTGGGAGGATAACAGGTGTTTGCAGACAGACTGCAGATAGGGAGCGTAATTGAGTCCGTGAGTGACCTCCAAGGGGGAAGGTCAAGCACCAGCAGGCAAATGCACTGTCAGCTATTTGCATATTCCAAATCAATGACACGATTGCAGTAATGCCTGGCTCTTACTGACACACACACACTCACACACACACACACTCACACACACACTCACACACACACAAAGGAGGAGAAAAGAGGAGTTCTCTGCTCCTCCAGTTCTCCATCATCTGTCAATGATCGCTTCAAATCCAAACCACCGGCCACAAGAATACACACTTTAGTACTTCATATACTACTAAACTATATCGGTTTTTTTTTGTATGCGTTTTTTTTAATATATATATATATACACACAGTACTTTAAATGTGACGTTCCTCAAACACGCAGGAACCGTTTGATAAAAAAATAAATAAAAAAATGCTGAAATCTTCACTAAGATAAAAGGCTTCGGTCTAAAGATGGCAGCATTACACATCCACCCCCCCTCCCTCTGCCCCTTTTCTGAACAGGAGGCACAATTTAATATGACTTTACACGTAGGGAAACATTGTTCCTCTTTGATCATCTGTAAATATATTTGTAAATATATTACAGCAATAATATCACGATGCATGTAGACATTTAATTGCTGTTTTTTCTAATAATGCTTTCTTTTTTTATTTTTATTTTTTATTAATTATTATTATTATTATTAGAAAAAGACAAATACAGGTACCAACGCAGTCCAGAAGCCCATGTGAATCAGGGAGTGTCTCGGTTTTTAAAAAAAACAAACAAAGATAAATAAATAAAAATAAGGACGTCCTGTTGTTGGTGACGAAGACGACCTTTCCAACTCTGTGTATTCTCAAAGATTTGATGGTGTTCTGTACGACTTTTCTCTTCTTGATTTCTTTTATTTATGTGCCCAGCTTGGCTGCGCCACGAAAAAGTGCCAAAACGTATGATTTCCATGACAAAAGCCTTCAACATATGGTTGGCTGCTTGAAACCTTCCATATGGTCCTCAAAGAAAAAACTGATTAAGATTTTCCACACTCTCTCTCTCTCTCTCTTTCTCTCTCTCTCTCTCTGTTCCAGCTGGGTATGAAGAAACTTAAGCCATGTCTGCTGAGGGGTGTTTTGATTTATCTTGTTCTGCGAATTAATACTGATGACAACCAATAGCAATGATAATGATAATAAAAACAATAGCACAAGGATTCAACATGTTTGGGTTTTTTTTCTTTACATTTCTAAGTCTGCTGTGGTTTGATTTCCTTAATTACAGCAGCGGGTTTCCAACCTTAGGGTCGCGACCCTTATGGGTGTCGCCTGGGGTCACATGTAACTACTACATTGTTCAACCACTTCAATGAGCTTGGCTCTGATTTATTTTTTTTTTTTTGCCCTATAAAATATTTCAATTTATTTCAAAACAAGTTGTTTACCTGTTTGGCCACACGGTGGTATATGATGTGTAGTGTCCATCGCCTCCCAGCAAGGTCAGCCTGTTCGATCCCCGGCAGGAACTGATGGTTTTTCCTCCTACAGCCCAGAAACAACAGTCATTAGTTTTTTTAGACACTCTTAATCCTTCACACACCTGTGTGTGGCTTTTCCTCCTACAGCCCAGAAACAACCGTCATTAGTTTTTTTAGACACTCTTAATTGACTACAGGTTGGATTTCAAAGTGTTTCTTTGTGACCAGATTAAAATTAACAAATCAAAGAAACTCAGCCAAAACAATGAAGAAAAAGTCAACGTACATGAAAAAAAAAACAATGAAGAAAAAGTCAACGTACAGGCTGTAATTTCAAGGTTAAATTTGGTTCAAACTTTTCGTTTTCAGATCTTTTTCTCACCTACTCTGTGACTAATGACTTAACTTTATTTTTATGTGACTTAAAATAGTTGAAAAAGTCCAGTGAACAAACACTTGTTGGACAACAGTACATTTTTCCTGAGAACCTTTAAATTCCACAATGACAAAGAAAATCATCTGAATGTTCTGCCTTTGACTTTTCACCGCGGCGACTCTGACGTCTTCCTGCGTCCAGTCTTAACATTCAGCTCCACTTAACTCCACTTTAATTAAACTAAAAGCCCTGATGTGCCACCAGCAGGGAGCAGCGGTGCCAGTGTTGGAGATGCTTTACGAGTTCCTACTGTCAAATTTACTTTCTTCTAATCCGCCGCCGCTCGGAGCCACATTAACGCCGGCCGTCTTTGTTTTTCCCCAGAACAGTTGACCCGACTTCACCGGTGCAGCTCTCTGAGTAACAGCCTCCGAGACGTCGGCGTTATCGAAAGCACTGGCATCGGTACCACCACTACTATTAAGGCCTTCCTGGTCATTAAATGTTAATGGAACATTGATTTCACGCTGGAACTACTCTTTCTGAGTGACTCAAAAGCCGGGGAAAAATATGGAGTGAAATAAAAATGAATCATGACAGCAGACAGGGATTATTATTATTCCGGGGGCTTTTCTTGATTGGCTTCCAGGGAATACACAACACTTGAATTCAATCGCTGGTGTCCTTCAGTGTCCTCCAGCAGCGCAGCGGCAGAATAATGAGACAGCCGGCGAAGCACAGGACAGGACAGAGCCTGGCCTCAGAAACCAGACACTGGGCTGCACCCTCCTCTCTCAGTGTGGGAGCAGGTGGG